TAATTCATTATGAATTTGTCCAGAAAACAGACTGTAAACGGTAAATTTTATAAAGAGATGATTAGGAGATTGATTGCTCGAGTTCATCACATTGGGCCTGAGTTTCAGGAAGGTGGGTCCTGGTAGCTTCTGCATGACAATGCACTGGCTCATTCGTCAGGCATTGTCTCCAAATTTTTGGTGAAACAAGGGATCCCACGGTATCCCATCCACCTTACTTCCGTGATTGAGCGCTGGCTGCCCTTCCCCCCCCCCCAAATTAAAAATTGCAGTGAAAGGGATGAGATTCATACCAGCAGAGTGTGATGAGAGAACTGAAGGTGATTAGAGAAGAAGTGTTTTCTCGGGCATTTGACTCATNATGAGACCACTGTACTGTATTTGTTTCCCATGCTTCTCTCATGCACATCATTATTTACTTCATGCTAGTTGTTAAATTTCATTTTTATCCAGCCTACGGGCATTTTATTGATTTGAACTGTCATAGTATTAAAATGCATTTTTAGTGAACAACATATTCCTAATGTCTTTTTAAAGTTGTATTATTGATGGATACAGTAGTAAAAAATAGGATGATGCCTCAATACAACAGGATGCTGAAATATAATAATTCCCTTGTTCTGTTTAAAGCTGCATTGCGAAATGGCAGTTACAAATGCCAGATGTATTCACAGTAAATTCAGGAGTACATTCGCAAAATTTAAAAATGTATAGTTTGAAATTTTAAGGTTCACTTATTGAGATGAACATATTTGTGTTATATGCCACCACTGCCTTTGATGTAATTCTGCAAGAAAATGAGGAACATGATGAAATAAACATTGTTTTCTGGTATTTGTGTAATGTGGACAATTGTATTCCTTTTAAGTGAAGCTGTATGATAAATTGACATCATGTTCATGTTAAAAGAGTTGGGATCTTAAAAATACTGCTTCAGACCACTGAAGTTAGTGACCAGCTGGCTTAGTTTCAGAGAAGAGGAAGGACCGAGATAGAACGCCATGTTGCACGGTTTAATTTTTATGCAACATAAATAATCTATTATGTTCAGCCATCAAGTTTTTTTTTTTACATTTGCATTGTGTGTTTGGTTTTGTAGAGGAGCCAGTGGCACCTGTTGAACAGCAGCCATCATCCCCTCCTCCAGCAGGAGTCCTGACAACCATCAAGACAGAACCAGGGCTGCCAGCTTCAGGTGCAACAACAACTGGTGAAGGACTGAGAGAAGTGCGTGTGGTAGTGCGAGATGTTATGAAGAATGAGTCTATCAAGCGTGAGCTAGAGGAGGACAAGAAGTTCACCGTTGTGAAGAGAGAACGTCTCGATAGTCCTGCCAGCAACAAAGTCATGCATCAAGCTTATGATGAGTGGGAAGAGATTCAGAAAGAACTTGCAGTGTACTGTGGTTCTAATAATATTACTGCTTCTGGAAGTACTGGAAACCCCAGTCTTACACCTGCTATAAAGGTGGAAGAAGTACCAAAAGCACCTGAACAACTATCAGATGAACGTTTATGTCTCTCCACTGCAGTTAGTGTAAAGGCGGAGTCTGATTCCATCTCCTTGGACTTGAAACTTGTAGAGGCAGAGGGAAAAGTGCAACCACATGGTGATAATATTGATGATATACAAAAACTTCCTTCAGCAGGGTCTCCAGGAACAAAGGCAAGGTCTGGGGCATGTGGTCCCAGAGATGAGGGGGGAGGGACACAAGAGGAAGTGAATATGACTCAGTGTAGTGAGGATAGTGTAGGGGAGAAGAGAAAGGAATTCTGTGATACAAATATAGATGGCATGGCATCAGTTGGACACAGGAAGAAAAGACACAAACATGGTTATTCGCCGCAGCAGAATGAGTGTGTGGATGATAAGGATGATGATATAAATGCGCAAGTGCAGAGTGCCATAGACAGCATTCTCAATCTCAAACGGTCAGATGATGGCTTTGATATTCGTCCAAATGCTACCACACCATCTCATATAGGTGTGGATGAAGGCTTAGACTGTGAAGATACAAGGCAGTATCTAACCACAGAGCGAACAGAGTCTGCTACCAGTTCCTCCAAACAGTGCAGTACTAGTGCTAGTGAAATAATAAGAACCAGGCATAAACGTAATAGTGTATCCTGTAAACCAGTAGATCAGCAGGTTGTGAACCACCATGAGGACAGCAGCAGTGTTGACAATACTGACTCAGCCTTAGATGAGGCGGTCAGAAGTATACTGACATCCTGACCTCTGGATGTGCAGCAAGCTCTTCCGAGCTTTGCTCCACCTGGAGTGTTGGGCAACTGGTCTACACTATGTTAAGGGTTGAAGAAGTTATTGCAAGTGGCATTTGAAAGGGAACATAATATTGGCTTATTTTCTGTTTGAATATGATCTGTTGGATTAGTAATACAATGGAACCCCTTTTTATGTCCCTCACTTTCAGGTTTTCGTTCATTTAATGTTAAGCTTCAGTGGGCTGAAGTTAATAATCTCAGTGTTAAATTTCCTTTGTATAAGATTTGCCTACGTTTAGTGTTCTTATCCACTGTTCCACAACAAAAACTTAAATTGGGATTTCAATGAATTTGGGGCTGGACAGAAATGTTAAATTTAAGGTACTGCAGTGACAGATTATTTCATAACACTTAGATCTCTCTCAGTTTATGCTCTTATCAGGGAGCTTCATACAGTTTAATTTTGTAATTATTTTGCCTTTTCTATGTCCTTATTCAATAAGACAGATTTGTAACTGTTGCGTAATAATAAACTAAGCATTGCTATTTGATGCTTTGGACTCAGTCAAAGAACAAGGTACTGTATTTGTTATTTATTTTCTTGTTTCTTATATAAAATAAACACCAGCACTGTACATTCTAAACAAAGACATTGAGCGGGATGAATATGAATAACATGCTGGATACATCATGACAGCAGTTCCTATATTGAAGTATTGTATAATTACTGTTTTACTACACGAGAAACATGTTTTTTAACCATTTTATGATGCCTGTATAGTTAAGTGATTCATTACGATTTACACTGCTGTGTAAGGAGACAAGTTTCATGCACGTATCTCTCTTTGCATGGATATACTGTGTATAAGTGGCATGACAAAAATTTCTTGGTATGTGAAAGTTTGTTTCAAAGAAATGTGAGTATTCTGATAAAAAGCAGTAACTGAATTAATGATGAAACTTTACTTCGCATGTAGATGTGTGAGTGAGAATGAAGTTTATGTGTAATTTCAACCTCCTCGGAGGCATAAAATGTGTCATCTGTTGAAATTGTTCCATCGTTCCAGTACACCTCGCAATTGCCATTTTCTAGGTGAATGTAGTGGAAGGAGGGTGGCCAGTCTGTTGGTCTCACTCAGTGTCTAGGTATATAGGTCAATGAAAGTAAGTGTGAGGATGTGAAGAGTGGTACTGCCCATTGGGAAGGGGCCATGATCTCATATATAAGACTAGCAGCAGGAGCAAGGTCAGGAGTATTGAGTATGATGCAATATGATACAAAGGGATTAAGTAATTAAGAAGAAAGTTCCAAAAAATATATGAAACTAGGCTACTTGGTTTGTATCTGTCAATTTTGAAGATGTGGGGATGTTTTGACTACTTAATTGGCCTCCCTGATGATGTAAGTAATGTAAGGACAGGTATGTGCTAGGTCTTCTTTGTTGCCATATTCAGTGCCATGTTTGATCCCACTGGGGTGTTCAACTATTGCACACTGTTTAATTTTTACCCTGGTGTGTCTGATATCCTAGATGTCCTAGTAGAGATATAACAGCCAGTGTGACTAATGTAATCATAATCTGCAATAGGTACAAGATTTTTGTGTCAGGCATATAGGTAGCACTTTAAAACTCAGAAACTTTGCATTTTACCCACATAATATTGTCACGTGTTGGGTATATGTCACGCGACAAATAACTTCACGCTGTCTTGGATATAGCGAATTTATTCCACTCGCTCTTACATTTACACAATTTATAGTTTCACAGTTACTGCCATCGGCAGTTTCACAAATACTTCTCCTGTAGTCATTTCCATTCACTCGATACAACTCGTAACTGCTGGACTTCAATTCATACTGGATACTAGTAACTCCTACTCTCTCGTTCAACACTGACAAAAATACTTCTCGTTATGTAGCTTCTGCACTGACAACACAGAAGATGGTTACGTGATGGCTACCACAGTTGCATAACGTCGTGTTTACAGGCGTTGCTAGGGAACGCTGCTGAGAGTTGTTTATTGCTGCGTAGTAACCGCGGTGTCCCCTGTTACGCCACAATGGTAAGTGCTGTTACCTCACCGTGGGAGGGAACAGAGTGTTTACCGAGCATTTTGTAATAATGGAAGGGGTGGGGGTATGTACGTCACTCGCAAGACCACAGAGTTTCTGTGACCCCTACTTCCCGTTGCGCCATCCACGTTACAGTATATTTATGGGTTCTGTATTTTTTTAATAAACAGTTATTTCTGTAAGGTGGACTAAGCAGTTTGTCTTTGTAATGAAGCAACAGTGCTTCCTATGACGTAGAAATGTCTTTGCTTTAAATATCCCATTTTGAATGAAGTTTGTGGACACCAAGAGGAATGGAATTATGTGAGAAATCATAAGTTGCTCTCCAGACCCTTTGATCGAAGTATCAAGAAAGCATTCAGTCAGCATTCCCAAGATTTTAAAATGTTCAGTTCGCCAAGGTGTTTTGTGAGAAACACATTAAAATAAAATTGGCATTGTCCCGTGTCTGCTGCATCACTTAGTAAATACAAGGGTGAGTCAATAAGTAAGTTACAAATGAATATAGAACTTAGACAAATAAGAGTACTTACTTATTGGCTTACCTATGTACATTATGCAAAGTTTGTTTGTAGACTATATGATGGACTTAACTTGCTGAATTGATATGAGGTTTGACATTTTCAATTAAATTGTTGCATTAATGAGAATGTTTTGAGTTAGTCCATACATAAAGATATCTATATATGTTTTTATTATACAGTGTCTTATTCTGTGCCCAGTTTTCCCAAAGTGGGTGACATGTTCTGGCAGTTATTTGCCATCTTCAGGGCTGCATTATCTGAACACACGCATAAACTTCATGCTGAAAGATATACGTCTAGTAATATATACAATTCAGCCCAGTGAATCTGTCAGTGTGGCAGTTGCATAATAAGCTGTGAAATTATTATTATTATGTAAAAAATAATTGAAAGTAATTATTAATAAAATATGTGCATAATATTGGGAGATGAACATGTCACATGGCATAGAGCATTGTGAGTGTTTATTAAACTGTTCATGTTGTTATTTACTACTCGTCGCTCCACCACTAAAAGCTTCTTGTTAATGTGGATACTGATTTTCTGAGGCTGGCTGGATTGTATAAATGATGTACTGCTTGGGTGGCGCTGTGTACTGGGAAGCAGATTGGTATATGCACTTGCTGATTTTCTGTTAGACACTTGTTAAACACATAAGAGAATCAGCATGTATATTAACTAAACAAAAAATTGTAACTGTGATTCCAAGGAGGAAGAACAAGTAATAGTATTAACAGTTTAATCAGAAATTACACCTGCAGTGCCAAAATCCAAGTACAAACTTTATTAATAGTTAATTGATTTTTAAAAATTTCATGTGTAAAACAATTTTAAAGCTTAAATTGCAGTTGCCACACCAATGGATTTATTAGGCTGAATTAGATACATATTAAATGTATATATGTCAGTAAAAATTATACTCATGTGTTTAAATAATTGAGGGTCTGAAGTTTTCAGACGTTTGCCAAAACACATCACTCACACTGTGAAGCTGGAAAGAGAATATACACTGTTCAAGGGGAAGAAGAATTGATGTATCTCTGCCAATCCACACAACAGAAAGAAACGCACTTGTCCATACATGCTTGAAAAACATGTGGATTATTCATCTTTAGCATTCAGAATGTACAGGGTCTCCCATTGGTACTAGGTGATTTAGAATGGTCCTCTGTATTGGAAAAAATGGAGAAGGAGAAATTTTATATTGTAACAGCTTAGGGCTAGACATGGGGTTCAAATTGATAATTGAATTTATTGGCTACTTAGTTCCCTTAACTACAAATAATTATGACAGTTATCATTCTTCATGATGTACAAATAGAAACAGCACTTTCAAATCTTTGTATTCTATTATGTCCTCTCATACTTATTACTTGATTACACCCTCCAATAACTGGGACTCCCTCTGATGTTCCATGCCCCAAGATCTCTGGTATGGGATCTGCTGTTCTCTTTATATAGCTTTGTATCACACTGATTAGAATACACCACCCCCAACAGTTTCTTTACTGTTATGCGTACATTCATTGCCACAGAAACCTATTTTCACAAGCCATTATGTAGTAGTGGACATGTTTGTGACATTTTTCTGGCTTTTAGGCATAATGTAAGTTCATTTGGTTTCAGTAATCGTGGTGGACTGGCTCATATATTAGTATTTTTTTATGTTGAAATATTTTTCTTCAAGAAGAATCTGCTGTGCAGTTTGAAAGAATGTTTAAACCTTAATTTGATATGCAGAGGCACAGAAGAATTCCAAAGCAGGTTACAATTTTCAGAGGGTGAATGATGTTTATATTGTTGGTCATGGAACTTCAAGATTTGTTGGTAGTTTGCAATCAGTTTGCACACCCAGGAACATCCAAAGAATGGGCTGCAGTACAAGAAAGTCTAGCCTGTTCAGCTTTGTGACATTTGTTGGCCTTTTAAATTTTGAGCAGAACTGTTCAACAAATTTTACACAAGGATTTGCAACACAAAGGATGAGAATGAAATGGTGCCTCAGTTTCTGTGTTTGAAAATTTTGGATAATGATGCATATGTGTTAAGTTTGTTGATCATGTCTGATGCCCATTTCCACCACAGCAGATATGTCATCAAACATAATTCCTGATACTGGGCTAAAGAGCATCCTATGCAGCTTGTTGAACACAGCGAGAATTCTTCCTTGGCTGAACACGTCAGATTCTAGCCTGAAGTTCTTTTGATCTGCACTCTGTTCAAAAGAGAAGTTTTGACAGCAAATACACATTGATTCCAGGCCAGTTCACTAAGATTATTGAAACTGCATACTCATGCATGTGGGTTCATACACATACAACCTTTCCCTCTACAGTAACATTCTAAAATTCTTTATCCCAGTGGTTGACCCTATACAGACATAATACAGATTTTGAATGTATATGTATGCCTGTGAAGAAATGTAGAACAGTAGAGCCATTGTGAAAGGTGTGCATATGTGGTGGATGTTGGACATGCCCAGATATGAAATGTGAGGATGATAGATTAGTAATACAGTATACTTGTCATATTTTAATCACAATTTCAAAATTATTCCCAAGAGGTAGCAAAGGTTTTGAAGGTTAGCAATAATACACAGGAGCTGGGATAGCTCAGGCAGTATAGGAACAGACTATGGCCTGGTGAGGCCAGGTTTGATTCCCAGAGGAACAAATTTTTCTCTCCACAGCATTCAGACCAGCTCCAGGGCCCACCCACACTTCTATCTAATAGGTAGTGGGGACTCTTTCCCCCGGGGTAAAGTGACAGGCATGAAGCTGACCACTCACCTGCATCTAGTGCCAAGGTCAAGAAAGGTGGAACTATACCTCCACTCCCCCACATGTCTTCAGAGCATAGTACTTAACTAATTAAGCACAGGGACAACTCTGCCTTTTACCTTTAGCAATAATACATATGTGAGGAAAATAGCATCATTCTAAACTAAAATGTGAAATCACCATCTAAGTGTATCTAATTTATTTCCTTTTTAGTGATATGTGTCATTTTAATTATACTCTTGAAGTATAAGGCATTGTAATTTGATAACCGGTACATTTCCGCTGAATTGTGACTACAGACATACAAAGTGTTACAGATTGGTATATATGCAACATAAATGAAGTTTTGTGTGTGCATGTGAGAGAGAGGACTATTAGAGAAACAAGAAATAGTTTTTAGCTCCTGCACAGTGATGGATGAATTACTTTTCAGACACATTCATTATTCATTGTCTTTGTAACTGGAATGTACATTACTGATCCTGGTGATTTATCATCTCTTAAGTAAGTACTCAGTGACTGGAATCTGTCAAGTAGTTATGGATGTCTGAAGATTTTTATTGACTTTAAGAGTTACTATCAAGTAATCATTGTCATTTTTAATGAAAAGAAACATTTAAGTAGAACACCTTGCTGTTCTTTTATCAATTTTCAGTCCATAATTGATCACTAATTTTTGGTAATGATTCATTTAGAGGCATAATCATGTGTTGTTTTATTGTCTAGAGCAGTGGTACTCGATGAAAATCATGTGAGGGTCAATAATACGTTTCTGGTGCCATATATCAGGCTGCAACTTAAGCTATATGCTGAAATTTCTATGAAATATGCAACAGAAACTAAACTACAGACATAAACTATTGTCACATGCTAGTGACTAGTCGTGGGGTTTGGATTGGTAATTTGATTTATTGAACACTTATACCCAGAACTACAGGTAACTGTAACAGTTTCACAGATGTGCACAATCTACAAATCACTGTAATGCAGCACACACAAAATCTTCTGTGACTTTAACCGGGAGTGCTAAGTTGCAATTCCCACCAAAGCTGATTCTTGTATGGTCACATGGGCTATGTATTGAATATCACTTGATTAAAAGAAAAAGTCTTTAATAATGTTGCATCAATAAAGTAATTTTTATTTATTTTTTCAGTTTCAGAGTGAACAGTCATTATTTTTATATTGTTTTAATGACTTCTTCAGTGAATAATCAGTTATAATCATGAAGAAAGCAGAGATTTAATAAATTTTACAGGGGTGATTGTGCCTAGTCTGAGTAACTGTATATTGGTACACTGTATGTGACAACTTATTTTTTCTGCCCAGGGAATTTGGTTACTATGTATTT